TTCATAATTTAAACACCAACCAACCAACAAGCTCTTGCCTGGAACCGGTTCGTAAGCGGCAGTAGAGGGTAATTTTCTCTTCTTTTCCCTTTGATTTTCATCACCTTTTTTTTTGTAGCAATATTTGTATTTTGCGGAGGCTACACAATGGAGAGCTTTATCACAACACAAGAATTTGATCTTGAGGTGTGAAGGGATGCTTTTAACGTCCCCGCCTTGAAGATCACCAACTTGAGGCTTTACTAGAATACTGTGTTTAAGTCCCCGCCTTGAAAAAAAATACTACTCTCAAGGCGTTACTAGGTCCCGAATACTTAACCAACTTGAGGTTTTACTAGAACACTGTGTTTAACGTCCCCGCCTTGAGAAAAAATACTACTCTCAAGGCGTTACTAGGTCCCGAATACTTAACCAATTTGAGGCTTTACTAGAATACTGTGTTTAAGTCCCCGCCTTGAAAAAAAATACTACTCTCAAGGCGTTACTAGGTCCCGAATACTTAACCAATTTGAGGCTTTACTAGAATACTATGTTTGACGTCCCCGCCTTGAAAAAAATACTACTCTCAAGGCGTTACAAGGTCCCGAATACTTAACCAACTTGATGGTTTTCTAGAATAATGTGTTTAACATCCCCACTTTGAAAAAAAAAATACTACTCTCAAGGCGTTACAAGGTCCCGAATACTTAACCAACTTGAGGCTTTACTAGAATAATGTGTTTAATGTCCCCACCTTGAAAAAACAATACTACTCTCAAGGCGTTACATGGTCCCGTATACTTAAGCATAAGGAATGAAGGGATGTTTTTAATGTCCCCGCCTTGAAGATCACTAATTTGAGGCTTTTTCAAGATCCCTAATGCTTAAATTATTCGCCCCTTCTTAACTATCCCTTTTTTTCAAGTTTTATCTTCTTTCGTGCATCATCATAAGTAAATATTAACACTTTTTTTTTGCAGTTTTGAACAATGGTTTTCTTCAAGGATTATACTTTCCTATCTTCTCAACTCAAATATCTCATCGTTAGAACAGAGGGTAGTACGGTGGAGACTAAGTTTTTGGTCCAGGATTCTTTTGTTGGTCGTTATGTTGATCCATGGCCACAATTGAGGAACACGCTTCATATGAGAAGTTGGACATCCGAATACGATCACAAATCTAATAAAGCCTCAAAAGTGTGGTATCTTGAGAAACCAAATCCTCAACGTACAAACATCGAGAGCACTTTTTCAAATATAGGCCGCCGCATGATTTTAGAGGAACTACGTTGGGGAGACAACATTGTTCTTGAAGGTGAATATGACTGCATTCCGGGATACTGGGAATGGACAGAAGATGTCTTAAGCAAAAATGGGCAAAGTCTAAACAATGCTTATATTTCTGATGTTGTATTTGCTTCTCTTTTTACTTATGATCGGAACTCCAATATTATACAAGCCTTTTATGAGGCTTGGTGCCCTCAAACAAATACAATACTTACATCTACCGAAGAAACATCCATATCTCTTTAGGACTTGCATATTCTAGGTGGTTTTCCAATTAGCGGAGTCCCTTACGAAGAAGTGATACCTAACTCTACGGAACTTACAGGTTTGGATGACAATAGGGAAATATTTCTTCCTCGAACTTGTGAGTGTATGTTTGCTGCCTTTCATCATCTTAAAGAGAAAAATAATGGTAATATAAGGGTCTCTTTTAATGAATGGATACAATTTTTGGTGCAAAGAAAGATCTCAAATATGAGCTAGCTCCCCCAAGGAAAGAGAAGAAATCTCGACGTCTGTTATCTACTCATAATCCAATAGGTGAGATACCTACTGAGATAAACACATGGTCAAGTACTCAAGAGATGGTATTTTCTAAGCTTGGAGCGAAACACCAAAAATATGAGACTTATCTGACGGCCATTTTATCGTGTTGGTTATGTGCCTTTGTATTTCCGTCTGAAGAAGGGAATTTCATTCGGCCTGAAACTTTCAAGATAGCAAGCTTAATGGCGAGCGGTAAAAAGGTTAGCCTTGTGGTTCCGGTCTTAGGAAGCTTATATCATGGCTTAAATAAAATTTCAAATTCTTCACAGTTAGACCATATAAGAGTATGTTTTCCCATACACTATGTTTATGGTTGGCTTGGTTATTATCTCAAGACACACTATCCGCTTACTAGTGGACCTTCTCTTCCACGAATGGTGGTATATTCTGGGGAAGGTGCTGCAAAGTACTTTGACAAAGATGAGGCAAGAAAGCGTGTTCATCGGACGGAAAGCATTGTATGGAATGCAACCATGCTTAGTAGGCCTTACCCAACTTATTATATTGATGATGGAAAATCACCAGAGTTGGAGCTAGCTTATTTTATCAGCCTTTGTTTTAATTATCTTCCATTGAGGAGGGGAGGTTCCTTTGTCATTGAGCCATATAGTCCGCACCGATTTAGTTTCCAATTTGGTTTTCATCAAGATATTCCTGGCTATTTAGAAAATGATATTCGTGCGGAGTCGCTCGATGAAGGCCTTAGATATTGGCGCATTTTCATATCACGTGCAACTATGTCTAAAGCGACATTTCCTCCTGCGGTAACTTCCGCAAAGAAGCTTTATACTACCCAATATTCATCTTGGTGGGAAGAGATCCTATGGAATGGTTCTTGAAGGATAATTTGGATGTTATGGTGGAGAAAGTTGGGTTAGAATTCGTTACCCTTTTAGAAGACAAAAGTCAAGTTATCGAGAAAACACTTTCAAAAGTCAAAACACCACTTGCTCCCCAACATCAAAGTAAGAAGATTAACTCCTCTAAGGTATCTAAGAAAGAAGTAGTTCATACTTTTACTAATAAAGAGAAATGTCCCCAATTTCTCTTCTCTGGTAAACGAGCCTTTCAAGAAACAAGTAAAACTAGCAAGGATCGATGTTGGAAGAGGCAAAGGGTTGAACCATCCGGGGCAGAAGTTGTTGCTTTAAGAGTCGTAGAAGTTCAGAGTGTCGATAGTCCTTCAAGATCAATGACAATTCAGAGTGACAAGGTTTACTTTTTCTTTTTTTTGAATAAAATGACTTTGCTAATCCACCATTTTTACTTGTAGGTTAACGCCGCCGGACATCCACTAGAATCGCCACATGAGATGCCGCAAGTTAGTGATGACTCTACTGCAATATCAAGACCTAAGGCAAAATCAATTTCAAATACTGAGCAAGAGCAAAAGACATTATCTACTTCTCGTGGCCAAACTTTAAAAGGGTTGACTCCTAATTCAAATGAACTTTACCGAGTTCTTCCAAAGAGTAATGGAGCTATGTCTGTCTTCGAAGGAAAAGGTGTTGTGTTCAACCACAAAAGGAAGTACATCATGGGTCTTTGGGAAGAGATTTGTGGAAAACTTTCCAGAACTTCTCTAGACAATATTTCATCTTACAAAGATTATATTTGTGAGATTTTCAAGGAGATGAGTGAGATGAATTTATTAGATCTTTCACCATTGAAGAGCTTGGTAGATTCTCTTTCTGATCATGCTACTTCTTATGATCAAGAACACTCTAATTTTGTTGACAAGGCACATGGAAGATAAGAAGATGGAGTTGATTTCCAATGCCAAAGAGCGTCTCAAATTGTTCAAAGTAGAAGAGGGTGAGAAGGCAAAACATGTTTCTTCTAACAAGAAATCACTAAAAGAAAGGGTTTAAAGCGGAAGGCTAGCAACTTTTACAAGGAGAGCGAGAGGGACTTGAAGTTGTTTTAAAAGCTGCTAAGAAGAAGGTTGAGGAGATTCAAGCCAAGATTTTAGCTACAGAAGATGAGATATCCTCGTATAGAAAATATGAGTTTATTAACGCTTGAAAAAAAAAAGCTTCAATTCGTTGGAATAGAAAGAGAGTGCTTGGAGGCTAGTCGTCAAGATTTGACTAACTACAAGTTACGCTTAGATTAGGTCTTTTTTCTTTCGTGTTTTCCTTTTTTTTTGTTTTCTTTAGCATTTGATTGATTGTTTTAGACAATTTTATAGTAATGAAGTTCTTTCCTTCTTCTTTTTTTCATACCATGCATTTTTATTGCATAATCCAATTTGAATTTGCTCTTTAATTCTTGATCCCAAGCTTTTAGTAATTCAAAGTCATTCCATATTTTGCATGCCAATAAGAATGAATATAGTTTCCACATTTTTAAGTTTGCACATTCAAACTTGCCTTATCAATTTTGTTGAATTTAATTCTTCAACTCGTAACAAGTTTTAGGGCCTTAACTTGTAAATTCATAGATTTTGAAGACATTGACTTGTAACTTGGTTGATTTAAGAGTCTAACATGCAAACTTGTAGGAGTTATCATACTAACAAGTTTTAGGGCCTTAACTTGTAAATTCATAGATTTTGAAGACATTGACTTGTAACTTGGTTGATTTAAGAGTCTAACATGCAAACTTGTAGGAGTTATCATATTACTTTGTCGGATTTGAAGACTTCAACTTGTATATATAGAGGATTCAAATACTTCAACTTGCATACTAGTCTGAATTTAAAGACTTCAAGCCTCTTGTCAAAGAAACTCATATTTCATAAGGGTTTACCCCTATCTATTGACCATTCAATACTTCGTACAAGTCTACAGTTTGATGAGACAAAAGATAAAACAAAATACTTATCGCTTTGACTGACATGTGATAGATCAAGTGGAAACATGTGGTTTTTTGACACTCATGCAACTAAACTTAGGATATATTCTAAGCGCCTACGTACCTCGGTGAAGAGGATTAAGTCACAACGTAGTTCTGGGGGATTGAGTGATTATTTTTTTTTGTTGTTGTTGTGTCGTACAGAGTTTATACTCTTGCGGGCCAGGAGTGACATGCAGTTTAGGCTCGTACCTTAAGGAGAATCATCTTACTTCAAGGGTAGTACATCTTTAGGAATTTTGCATTAATAGAACCGATCCTTACGCCATTTGCATCAACAAACTTGTAAGCACCATGTGAATATGCTTCTTGTACAACATACGGTCCATCCCACTACGAGGTAAATTTGCCCCCAGACTTGTGCGAAGTAATGATGGGTCTTATTACTGCAAGAACTTGGTCTCCAACTTGGAAACACCTCAAGCGAACTTTCTTATTGAAAGCACGAGATAGATGAGCTTGATAACATTCAAGGTTTTGTTGGGCTTCTAGCCTCTTTTCGTCAAGTGTTTCTAACTCAACAAGACGCAGTCGAGCATTTTCTTCTTCAGTAAGCCCTTCTTGAATAGCAAGTCTTAAGAAAGATATTTGACGCTCGAGTGGAAGGACTGCTTCAACTCCGAAAGCAAGTGAATATGGTGTTGTTTGAGTTGGTGTGCGGTATATTGTCCTATATGCCCACAAAGCTTCTTCCATTCTTTCATGACAATCCCATTTGGACTTGGAGACAACTTTCTTCAGGAGGTTGCATAGAGTCTTATTGAATGCTTCAGCAAGACCATTGGCGGTAGCATGATACATAGAAGATTTACGCTGCTTGAAGCCAAAGAGATCACAATTTTTTTTCATTAATTTGTTATCAAATGGCTTGCCATTGTCCGTTATTATGTAGCGAGGGATGCTAAAGCGATAGATAATATTTACTCAGATAAAATTTGCAACATTCTCTTTCTTCACTTCTTTAAGAGCAACGACTTCAGCCCATTTTGAGAGTAATCTATTGCAGCCAAGATGTACAAATGTCCACCAGAAGATTTTGGTAGTGGTCCCACAACATCCAATCCCCAAGCGTCAAATGGCCAAGATGCGATAGTTGGGTGCAATACTTCAGGCGGCTAATGTATGAAATTTGCATGAAATTGACAAGAATCGCACCTCTAAGCATAATCTAAGAAATCCTTCACCATGGTTGGCAAATAATAGCCCATCCTCTTTATGTGAAAGTGGAGTTTCGGTCCAGATTGATATGATCCACATACTCCTGAGTGTGCTTCTTGCAGAGCTTGAATTGCTTCTTGCTCTCCCAAACATCGTAATAGTACACCCTCAAATGATCTTCTATATAATGAGTCCTTGTAGTAAAGTAAGCGAGGTGCATGATGACGAATGTCAAACCTTCTCCTTGGATTTTCTGGAAGTATCCCATAACACATGTAGTCAATAATAGGTTTTCTCTAATCTTCTTTACGGCTTCAGAAACAGGAATGAGACTCTCAAGCTCATTTTCTATATAGTCTTCCTCATGTGGCGGTGGTACTATCCATCTTTGACAAATAGTAACTTCTGTTTGATTAGGAAGGGTTAGCATTGAAGCCATGGCAGCCAATGCATCAACTTTCTTATTTTCCGTTCTACGCACATGTTGAAGGGTTACATCTCCAAGTCATCCTATCAACTTTTGAGCATAGACATAATAAGGACGAAATTCGGGCTTCTTCACCTCATAACTTCCCAAGAGTTGGTTGATCACCAACTGAGAGTCACCAAAGACTTGTCAGTGTAATTGCTTCATGTCGACGGCCATCCCAAGTCCAAGTATCAATGCTTGGTATTCAGCGACATTATTAGAGCAACATTGCTTCAACGTAAAGGAGAATTGTAGAATCTCTTCTTGCGAAGTGATGAACACTACGCCAGCGCCAGCTCCGCCACGATGTGCAGCCCCATCAAAGTACATTTTCCAAGGAGGATGAATTTCAATAGACATCGTATCTTCATCAGGAAGATCATCAGTTAATTCCCAATTGTTGGGTATCGAATGGTCCGCCAAGAAATCCGCTAATGCTTGTCCCTTCACAGCTTTCTGAGGGATGTACACAATCTCAAACTGTTGGAATTGGAGGTACCACCGTGCTAGTCGATCACTAAGGACAGGTTTTGACATCACAAACTTGATGGGATTTGCTCTAGAAATGAGGCAGACAACATGCGCTTGAAAATAATGCTTAATCTTTTGAATTGATAAGACAAGTGCCAAGCACAACTTTTCAATTGGCGAATAGTTCAGCTCATTCGGTGTCATCGTTCTACTTAAGTAATAAAGAGCATTTTCTTTGCCTTCACTATTCTCTTGAGCTAGCAGGGCTCCTACAGACCTTTCTGTGCCGCAATGTAGAGTAACAATGGCTTTCCAGATATAGGGGCTGCCAAAACTGGAGGTTTCGCTAGATACGCTTTGATACTTTTAAAGACATCGCTACATGTTTGATCCCAATTAAAAAGAGCACCTTTCTTCATGAGATGACCGAATGGTTGGTATCTTCCCGCTAGATTTAAGATGAATCTCCTCAAGTAGGCTAACTTTTCTTGGAGACTTTTTAACTCATGAATATTTCGAGGCTCAGGCATCTTCGATATTGCATCAACTTTACCTTGATCAATTTCATCTCCTCGATGTCTCACAATAAAGCCAAGGTACTTGCCAGAAGTAAATACGAAGGCACATTTCAATGGGTTCATCCTTAATAGATATCTTCGGAGAAACTCAAACACCATTCTTAAGCCTTTCAAATGATCACCCCTCTTTCTCGACTCTACCACCAAGTCATCAGCATAACATTCAATATTTTTATGGAGCAAGTCATCAAATATATTTTGCATAGCCCTTTGATATTTGGCACCAGCATTCTTTAAACCAAATAGCATCACTTTATAGCAATAAATACCCTTAGGCGTGCGACATGCGATGAGTTATTCATCCTTTGGAGCCATGCGGATTTGATTATAGCCAAAAGAACCATCCATGAACGACATCACCTCATAACCAGTGGTGGCATCAATCATCAGCTCCGGAATGGGAAGAGGAAACTCATCTTTAGGGCATGCATTATTAAGATCTCTAAAGTCAACACATACTCGAATTTGACCATTCTTCTTCCTTACAGGAACAATACTTGAAATCCATGTAGGATATTTGACCTCATGAATAAAGCTTGCCTCAATGAGTTTGTTAACTTCATTTTCTATCAATGGAACCAAGTCTGGCCTAAAGCGTCTTTGAGCTTGCTTAACAGGACGAGAACCATTTTTGACTGCCAACTGATGGACCGCTACTTTAGGATTCAATCCAAGCATTTCTTTATAACGAAGCGAAGACATCCTTATATTCTTTGCGTATATTCATATAAGCGATTTCTTCATCAACTTCTAGAAAGGCACTCAAGAAAGATGGCCTTGGGTCTTCATCAGTGCCAAGGTTAACTTCTTTCAAATGATCTATTGTGGTCTTTACTCCTTCTTCAAGTTCTGGTGGAGAATATCCAGCGTCTTTCTCTTTTAAAGGATCATTGTCATTAACAGATATATGACAACACCAGATAATATCTTCTAACTCTTCATCAATCTTCATTTGAGGCAAAGAATCGTACTCATTTTAGATTGTAATATGATTTGAAGAGCCTACACTTTCTTCATCTTCCTCGCGCTCCTTGGTGTAAACCACAGTGTGAACCTTTGCCTTGAGTTCCTCTTTACATGAAACTACAAGTTTCACTCATCGCCTCATTCTAGAAGGAATCGAACTTTTGAAATCCTTTCAAACCAAATGTGAAGCAGGCGTTGTAACTTTTAAATAACTTCTCATAATCTTATTTTTCTTCAATTGACCTAACCTCTCAAACACAGAAGTTCTTGCAGTCGATTCTCCAAGTCGATCAAAGACGGAAGGCTTTTTGTTAGGAGTAGTGACATCATCTTCAAAAGTTATATGGTTGTTGCTTTCCCTTCTTATGGAAATGCGAATTGGTGGCGGTTGGCTATAGCTTAGGCCTTCACGTGCTTGCCTAGTTGTATCTTCTTATACAAGTTTCCGTAACATTGATGGCTCATTAGGGTTGTATCCAGCCTTCACAAATAACTTGTAAGCATTGAGATCAAAACCTTCTCTTGTGCGTTTTGTAGGGAGCGCCACATCTCGCACTTGATTTTGAGAAATTGACTTTTCGGGCAGCTTTGAAGACAAGTTTATTGCATCAATCCGTCTGATTGGAAGAGTTAGCCCTCTCAATACATTTTCTTGAAGGTTAGATGATTGACCTTCTTATTTCTTCACTTTTGGAACATAACAAAGTATAGAAGTCAGCTTCTTCTTCGAAGACATGATCTTTTTTTAACAACATAACTTTTCAAATAGAATTTTGCATCGGCAAAGTGTGTCTCAACTTCGGTGAAAGGATTATCATCTGCAACTATCTTCCTTTCAATCCCGCCTTCAAGATACTTCAAACATTGATAGTAAGAAGATGAGACAATTCTATTCTCATGTACCCAAGGCCTGCCAAGTAATATATTGTATGATGTCTTTGCGTCGATCACATGCATCCATGCGCTTGATTGCAAATCTTCCATGTGGATCTCTAATTTAATAGAGCCTATGAACCTCTGCCCCCCTTGATTAAAACCTTGTATCAACAAATGACTTTCACTAAGTTCCTTCATCTATTAAGATTCTATTTATCTTCTTCTATAGCACGTGACTGGCCATATACAAAGGACGATTGTGTAGTGTTTCACCGAATAGAAGATCATTATCTGTAAATGTGATTTTTGTATCACATGCATGTGCTTATTGGGAAGAAAGTTCAATAGGTGTTTCAGAAGGTGAAGGAGACATCATTGACGAGATTTTCCTTGTTGTCTTTTCGTCGTCATTAGGAGACACTTTTGGTGAGGATTCACTCGTTGTTCCTCCTTTGTCAGTAGGAGGCACCTTCATTGTTTCTGCTTTATCAGCATTGAAACATGATGCCTCAACATTGTCTTGAGTAGACTTTATGTCGAATGAACTTGGTAAGAATTCCTCTAGAGTCACAGGACGTCGGGGTTTTTAGTAGTGATGCACTTCTACCTTTGCCCTCTTTGGGCGCTTGATTGATTTATGCTTCTCTAATTTCTTCACCATTTTCCCTCTAATCGGTTGCTTGGATGATTCTTTTCGTAAGCTTGACTTGTTGCGTCTTTGCCTAGTTACAAGAATCCAGCCTTCGTCACCATCTATATCAACTTTCTGCTCCAATGACTCTTCTTTATGCTTTTCAGAGATATATATTTGGACCGAATCGAGTGAGCCGAACGTGATAGAGATCTGGTTAGAACTAACCTTCTCATCATCAAGGACAATTTTCTTTTCGTTAACCAATCGCATCACTCTATCCTTGAAGACAAAACATTTTTCGAGAGGATGGCTCACAAGTCTATTGCTTGGAAAGTCATTCTGACATTTTGCTTCATGCCCTCATTCGTAGTGATCTTCGCAGGCGACACATTAACATTCATGGATTCTTTATTGTCATTTCTAGGCACAAATTTACTCCATCTCTTGGGTTCCTGCTTGTCGCTTCCTTTGCGAGGGTCTCGAACATACGTCATATCTTTTCCAGCAGAGGACATGCTTAACTCCATATCATGAGCGCGAGTAGCTATATCTTCGAAGGATTTTGGTTTTATTCCTTGTAAGATGTAAAGAAGCTCCCAGTGCATTCCTTGAATACACATTTCGATTGCAGAAGCTTCACTAAGCTTATCCTTGCAATTTAGGGTCGCGTTCCTCCATCGATTTATGAAATCTATAAATAGTTCATCCTTCCTTTGGCAAGTATTTGTGAGTTTTACCATGCTCACCGTATGCCTTGTGCTATAGAAGCGATTGAGAAATTCGTGCTCTAGTTGCTCCTAACTATCAATAGAATTAGGTTCGAGATCCGTGTACTAATCAAAGTCATTTCCTTTTAGAGAGCGGATAAACTGTTTGACGAGATGGTCTCCATAGGTTCCAGCATTATTTCATGTCTCCACGAAGTGTGCAACATGTTGATTTGGATTTCCTTTACCCTCAAATTGTTGAAATTTGGGAGGTTGATAACCAACAGGCATTTTGAAGTTATCAATTCTCGCAGTGTATGGCTTGGCATACATGTGAGAAGACTTGGTGGAGACTTCATACTTATCTTTGATAGTGCCTTCAATAAACTCTTTCAAGCGATCAAGTGGGATCATTCCTTCAAAAGAAACTGGCATCTCATTAACAAGCGGTGCTTTCTTCGCAGGATCTCCGATCTCTTGAACTTCAACACCTATTCCAGGCACATGACTCGCTTCTCCATCTAAAAGTCCTTCCATCCTATCCATCAATTTATCAATTCGAGACTCTTGGTGTTGTACATGCTTTGTCAATCCTTCAACCAACTTTGTCAGATTTGTGAGTTGTTCATCAGGAGAGGAAGCAACAGTTACCATCGTTTGCATGATCATTGGAGATGTAGGAGAGTAGCATGGATTGTCGCGCAAGTTAATCTTCAGCGGACTCACGTTACGCGATGC